TTGTGCCTAGACCCACATAGCTACAGTGCACAGCTCCAGTTATGATGGTCACTCGACTGCATGCATTTGCTCTGTTTGCTCCTGCTTCGTTGAGTTAGTATAATTAGTAAGCAATAGTCTAGGGACTATAAGTAGAGAGCTTTCCTCCACAGTAGATAGAGCAAGCAATACAGTCTTTCCTCATTCTACAGAGATCATTCTCCACTCCTCTTCTTGACCTGTCCGGCCCAGCAGCACATCTGTGATCACTAGCAGCGAGCTCCCACAAATTGTATGTACACCCGAATCATAGACCTATCATAACAGAAGACAAGACGTGGCCCTCAACTGTGGCTCTGTCCAATCCATATATACATCATAGTAACCAGAGCAACCTAGGTCTCATAGAGTCCACCTTCTACTCGACTACTCAATTCGTAACCCATGGCAACCATTGTATCCCAGTAACCTCTATCCTCAGTTCCTAATAGTAACTTTTTTCTTTATCAGATCTGGCATTGACGGCGATGCTTTGAATACTTTGTTTGATATGTCTTTAGGTAATGGGCGCACCGTCCACATTTTGCCTTTTCGTTTTCCTTCTAACGCCACTTTGTTCTTCTTTGTCAAGCTGATACTCTTGTTAGGTGAGTCTACTATCAAGGAGACACCCTCATCTTCGAGTTTTCCAACAGAAATCAGATTGTTTGTGTTAGAAATTGTCAAGGATTTCTAGGAGGAAATATTTCCAAGAACAAGTGTACAATTTCGGACAAGAATTTATTGATAGTTGTATGTGATATCGAAATCTCTTCTCAATATGAATTAATTATATATAATACTCCGTTAACTTATTTTTACACATACAGATGAGCCTATCCTTAAATACAGATCCCGAACTCCCAGTGATCTAGCAACAACCAGCCACCCAATTATTGCAAGGTAGCATTTCCTAGCCACTGCATTCCAGATGCCACTGAATCTTATTTCGTCCAACTGAGCTGAATCATATTCAATCGAATCAACTCAATTGATCTTGATGATCATACCTAGAAATCTAAGCCTTCATACATGCTGAGTCTAGATTTGCAACAGTTTGTGCATTGTTGTATGTGTTCAACGTTTTTGACTGTTGTCATTCTTTCCTTTCCTTCCTTATTCTGCCAATGAATACTGACTGTTCCTGATCCTTTTGAATGAATAGTTCCTCCATTTGCGGCGGCAACGCAGGTATTTGAAGGGCTTAATATCTCTTCTACAAACACATCTTTACGATTTGAAATGTGGGTGGAGGCACATGTATCAAGTCACCAGATCACTCGTTTCACATCACTATTTTGGGCCATAAAACAGAGAGAAGCATTAGATTCCGTATCACTATCCAAGACCCTTGCTACTTTTGCGTTTTCCTTCCTAGGCACTTGGGCAACCAACCAAGCTTTTCCTGCCGACCTTTTCAACCACACTGGACATTTAGTCTGGAAGTGCGGCCCCCCACAAGAAAAACAACCTCCTCCTGCTAGGAGCTTAGCATTCGTAGAGATCTTTGGAGTTAAATTGAAGTCGGCGATGTTAGTAGTGTCATTGCTGTGGTGTTCCTCCTTGCCTCTCACTTGGCAGCCTCCTTGTCTTCTTCCTGCCCAGTTTGTTGTTGCAATATTAGAAGTAAGCTCTGTTTCCCTAGATGCCAACCGGGAGATTATGTCTTCGAATTCTAACTCCACGGTGCTTTGGTTGATTACTTGGAGGGTCGTCTCGTATTGCTTCGCATCAACGCTCAACTTCAAGGTATGAATCATGAGCCATTCAGGAATATTGTTCTTCGGTTTGATCTTCAAGACTTGTGCTTGCAGCTTTCTCATCAATTCGACTTTCTCATGGATGCCCATCGATTTACCCTCTGTGATGTCTGTGAATCTCGTTACCAGGCGGTGATATTGTTTCTCATTGTTTCCTTCGTACTTTGATATCAAGGCGTTGTACTTGTCTTGTGGATGCTTAAAAGCACCAATTATTGATCGATGATTCTCATCGACGCTCTGACTAATCTTTAAAGATACCTGCGCATGTAATAACCTCGTTGCAGATCGAGCTGCTGCATCAATCTCCCCATCAAGGCTCTTCTCAGAGACCCTTTTCGCTTCGATCAGGTCGATTTGACCATCAACAACTAGACTGTCTTCCAAATCGTTCTACCAGTTGTCAAAGCTGTCCTCTCCAGTCAGTTTCGTACCACCATACTTCGATGACTTTGTAGACATGGTGGATTTTTGTTGTGAGTGTAATAAAGTATATCTTCAAGATTGCACTAGCAGTGTAATCACCGGACTCTATAACCTGTAAAAAGAATATACTGGTTCAACTGATTTCTATTAAGGGCTTGGGGAGCTTCGCTACATGTATACTACAATAGTGGGTCTAAACATCATAAAGGACACATGTTAATCCTGTTTACTAGGATTAGCCCTGTATTTCAACAGTTAAGCATCCAGATCATATCCATGTGAACAATAGCTTTCATACTTCATTAATCTGACTATGGATAGACCCAATAATTCTAAACCAACCATCTGTTAATGAAGTGGAACGTCGTCCTGTAGCTGGGCAAGTTGCCGAAAGAGACGAGGACGGTAAAATCTAAGATAAATGGGCTTTCAAAAAAATCTTGGATGTACATGATGGGGATCCAGATAAAAAGGGCTGAACTTACCTTACTAAGTGGAAATATAATGATGTGATATATTGGCAGCCGGAATCTGACCTACGAGGCTGTGAGAAAGTACCGAAGGATTTTCATGACTCGAACCCCTACAAGCCAGGCCGACTTACATGGGCAAACATCTCACCAGCAAATAAATCGATTCTAGCACAACAGCCACGCCGTTCAGGAAGGAACAGGCAGCCAACATGGAAACTGATTGAAACGAGAATATAACAAAAGTTTATATTGAGGTCATACTAATTTACAGATGGAAGCATGCAGTTTGGAGACCAAACACAATTCAGAGTGGGAGTACTGTCACAGAACTAAAAGCTACTGCAGTACACTAGGATATTGGTATAGATCCCTCCTGTAGATAATCTTCCCTTACTATTGCACAATGCAGTTATATTATTAAACCACCAGAACCTGACCCGTAATCCACTGTGACAGTGGGCATTTGAACTGAAGCGGAATTGGAGGGCGAGAAGAGGTCTGTTGTGGTTATGAGCTATGCGGAAGCCACATTGTGAAGTGATGAGGAGTGGATGATGTTATAATTAGTTGTTGACATTGAATAGACTCATACAATATAATGCTGTAGGTGTATAGACAGAAAGTATAAGACTAAACCTGTATCCATTTATTGTGGGTATATCTATGAAACTATATACATGCTCGCCTAACCAGTACACTAGTGATGTATGCTGTGGCCTTGAGCCACACGCAATACCCTAGCCTCGACTAACTTGTTGTCTCATATCATAACAAAGTCTGATGCATTTCAAAAGATGACTGAAGGTCTGCTTGAGATAATTTGGGGGAGCAAAAGGTTTGAAATATGGGTAGTATAAATATCTAGAGTCTAAAGATCCGAGTGGGTACTAATGTTAACTAAGGGTACTAGAGGTGACCAGAGGTGATCCTAAGGTGGTATTTGTGACAGAAAACTAAGTGTGAGGAACTTCGAAGCTTGTGACCAAGCCATCATTCATATACCTACTTTCCTTCTTCTAGCTCATCATAACAAAGCCCCTAAACTAGTACCAATATAATACCTGTTACAGTTTACCCGTTGTTTAAGCTTAGGTGAATACCTAAGCGCATTGTTGAGGACTCTGAGGATAAGACTGTTGGGATCAAAGCAATATCATAGCACATTGAATATGGGCAATGCGTAGCCATGCGGTAATTATTCGACCTAAGGAAAAGGTGTAAGCAACGAGACTCATAGAGTGGACTGAATGTTATAAGTACCTTGTAGCTGTAGTTAGATTTCTCTTCTTCATAGAGTTTACTAAATCAATTTTTTCATCACCAACTCGGTTTCTATCACAATACCATATGCCGAGAACTGTACTGTTTGTTGAAATATGATATACCTTGGAATGCCAAGAATAACTTATTTGTAAGTCCGGCTAATTAGACTATCAAATTCCCCATTCTATATCACTGTTATCAAAACATCCTTCACCGAAAGTTTAATGCGCATTAGCCTTTATTTCACACTAGCATTCCAGCATATGAATATGTCTCAAATGCAGATTAAAGTTTTCTTGGATCTATTACAAACACACATGTATTTAGCTTTAAATTCCTGGCTTATATATGTGTATCAATTATGCCCTCAGGGCTCCAAACATGCAATGAGCAAGGCAGTGTAGGTGCTTGAACATGAAACACCTACAGGTAACATGAATGCCAATATAGTCTTGGCATTACTCAGCAAACACCCACACCTTATGTAAATAGAGCTCGCTGTAGCTACTCCTATTTCTCCTTCCATAGCCAATCTATCTTACATTCCCAAGTCTGCCTCTACCATTTTAATACCTCGTGATTGTATCTGTTAGAATTTTGAATAATTGGGGCTATTAACTAGGCCATGTTGTTGCTACACACGTGACTACAAATTCTGAACTAAGTTTCACTTCGGTATTTACTTGAAGCAATGCACTCTATAACTTCATAGACTTAGCGGTCATTTTTTCCTTAATGGGTTATAAGCCCGTATTGTCGCTCGCGCAATCATGTTGTATCGCCCGGAGTTTGATACTATCTTTGTTTAATTTTATATTATCGTGGGGTAGATGATTCAATTAGTTGAAGAATAGTTAATGTCTGTCGGTAAAAGGATTATATTTGGGCGTTATGAATTGTTCTCTGTAATTGCGGTGTTAAGGATGTCGTTAGGACTCTGGCAGGGATCTGATTTAGCTCATTAGCGAGGTGCTTGGAGTTGAGGAAGAAAGGGCAGAGGGAGAAGGAAAAGGAGAGACAACGTTTTATGTATTTCGAGATACCAGTTAATTGAGATTATTCACCGACTTCGTGACAGACAGCTGACTTTGTGACTGCACCCAATTTGTATTACTTCGTGCTTTACCAACAATGACAAAATGAATAAAGCAAGACAGAAAGTACACCAAGTGGAGCTTGGTGATGGTATTAGAGAGCTGTCACACAGTACGCTCTGGAATAAAAGTCTTTGGAAGGGATACACTAGTGGGGCGTGTTGCTTGTAGAAGGAAACCAGTCAATGGAACACTAGCAACTTGGATGGAATAAACACCGGAACAACAACATTACTAATACTGGGGGAGTGTATTTGAGAGCTGAAAAAGGCTGATACTTTAACGCCAAAATCATGGTAATCCTCTGAACCCAACATCAAGACATCAAAGGGTCACTCTGGGCAAGCTTAGGACTCTACGGTGTACATGGGGAAAAATGGGAAGAAATGAATCAATTGCAAAGGATACATTACTTGAATTAATTCATTGGAAATTGTCAAGGGGAACTATTTCACCTACTCATGTAAACTAAGCTAGTCAGGTCACATGACCTGACTAACAGTACATAGATGTCAGGAAATTCTGCTTAGTCAGCTAGTTGGTCAAGTGAAAGGTGTCCACATCATTTGTACATTACACCTTTATCACTACACACCCTTAGTACTACATCTATACATTCCTCACATATTGCATATTACTATCTGCATTATCTTACTCTCGTGACTATACTTTCTCAATATCCCAACAGGTTATGAGACCGGTGTTTAATTATTCATCGGCTTCCGTTTTCTAACAATCTGCAGCAATGTCTTCATTTACTACAGAAATAAAAGACATCCGAAATCATGACAGTCTTCCACAGTACAAATCTAATTGGGAGAACATTATGATTCTGAGCCTCGGAACATTCACAGAGTGGCGGATTACTTGCGAGATCGCTTTAATAAACGCTGGCGTTTTGAGTATCGCTGATAGCACTTGGAAGAAACCTATTGCTAATTATTACACACATGCTTCCCGTCCTAATACACGATCAGCCTCTTCCGGTGCAGCACACAATGAAATTGATGCTGATGACAATGAATTTCGAGTACAGGAACAGAAATGTTTATCCAAAGCCCGCGACACGCAGATAATCATATCCAACTCCATTGAAACCCAACTGATGGAGCAGTTGCTCGGATTTCTGAGGAACATTGATCCTGCTGGGTTATGGAACTTTCTCCTCCAAATGGACCCAAACAGAGATCCAACAACCATTGCAGAATTGAGATCCAAGTTCGCCTCCATGAAACTTGATCCGAGAACAGACACAATCCAATCTATTGTTCTACGCCTCAATAATCTCAGAGTCAAGCTATCAATGACCTCTAGACCGATCACCGAGGAAGATGTCAAGGAGCTGCTAATTGCATCTCTTCCTAAGGATAACTCGATTTGGTCTACGGCTCGATCACACGCTCTAAACATGGGTAGAAGTCTCGCAGAAAAAATTATATATCTTCAATCTTGCGAGTCTAACATTTTTTATACACAGTCCCCTCAACCACAATCTGCAAATATAGCACGCAGCAATTATAGAAAAAGAGGACGTGGTACATATCAAAGGGGACGCAATACAGCGCACTTTGATTGTCGTGATCAAGTTTGCAGAGAGCTTAACCGAAAAGGAAAGCAAAGAGGAATGGCAACGGACGAAAAGGAGTGTTTCTTTTGTGGTAGAAAAGGTCATGTAGAACGTGATTGTCGCCTTAAGCAGTCCCAAAGTAGAGCAGCCAAGGAAAAGAATAAAGCTAAGGGAGATGCCGACGCTTGTTATGTTCAAGTTAGAAATATTAATGCAAATGATTCACCCTACCTGTCTTATTATCTTGAACACAGTCACACAGCTTGCTCAGAGCTAATTATGGATAAAAGTCTGGCCCTACTCAAAATAAAATCAAGTAAAAGTAAAATCCGACAATATAAAACAAATTCCAAAAATATACAGAGCTTGATCACCAGCAGAATTCATAAACTCCTTAAATTTATACGGCTTCTGGATTCTAATGCAACAGCTTTCCCAACTTTCACAAAACATGCATTACTTACCAAGCCCAGAGAAATTCTCACAATAATTGACTCCAGAGCATCAGAACATTTTAGTCGTATGAGAGATGATTTCTCTACGCTCAAAAGATGGAGCAATCCAAAGTCTGTCCAAATTGCAGATGGAAAAGTTATTCAATGCGAAGGCTATGGCAGTATATCTTTTAGGACTAGTGATAAAATAATTGAATTAAGAGAAGTCTGGTTTATTCCTGAGTTTGGTCAAATGCGGATTCTGTTTGTCTGGGCCTTCAATAAGAGGGGCATTGATGTAAAGTTTGCTGATGGCCATTGTCAAACAACACAAAACGGCTCAATCTTGTTTGAAGCAGGAGAGGATGGTGTCTTCAAAGTTAAAACAAAATCAATACCTCAAGCAACATCAGCCACGGAAGTTCAGCAACAAAAGCCACACCAAACAGAGACTGAATGGGACATTTTGCATAGAAGAATGGGCCATATTAACATCAAAGATATTGACAAGGTTCTGAAAACAGGACACACTGGACTAAAAGTTCCTAACAAGAAAAGATCAATTCCGATTGGATCAAAATCTTGCAAAGCATGTTTAGCAGGAAAGATGAAGGAAAACTTCAACAATAAATCTGACAATCTTTTAAGCACCATCCTTCGTCGAGTTCAGTGCAATATCTCAGGAATCCAGTCCATCTCAGTTAGAGGATATCGGTTCTACTTCCTCATGGTAGATGATGCAACAAGGATGTGCTGGGTCAGGTTACAAAGAACGAAAGAAATGAATGAGGTTCTAGTCACATTCAAGCAAATAAAGGCTGAAGCTGAATTGCAATCTGGCAATAAAATTGTCTACATGAGGGCTGACAACGGCAGGAGTGAATTTGGTACTGCCCTTCAACACTACTTGAAAGAAGTAGGTATAAAATTTGAACCAAGCCCACCATACAAACACTCAATGAACGGAGTTGTTGAAAGATGGATGGGTATTATAGCAGTTATAGCAAGGTCTATGTTATATGAGGCACAGCTACCTCACCAGCTCTGGTATTACGCTGTCGAGCATGCGGCTTGGATCAAGAACAGGGCTCTCACATCCGCGCTACCTTTTGCTGATAATGACGCCCGAGAAAAATTCACTCCCTACAGCGCTTATCATGGAAAGCCTGCAAATCTAACCAACATCAGAGTTTTCGGGTGCAAAGCAGATGTGCTTTACCCTTCCGAGTTAATTCCTCAGAAATGGCAACCTCACATTAGAGAAGGAAAATTCATCATGATAGGAATGACCTCGACGAAAATTTGGAAGCTACTTGATACGCTTACCCTAAGCGACACAATCTCTGCAGATGTTGAGTTCAATGAATATGAATTCCCTAAAATTGACATCTCACTCTTTACTCTACCTGATTGACCAGATGTGCTAACATCTAGACAAGTACCTTTGGAGCGAACAAAGATGTACCAGCTGCAGCTGATAGAAGCTAGGCAGAAAGGTGTTAAGCAAGCGCGTAAGAAGTACGCTGCAATTCGCCCAATTGAGGCAATGAGTTTGGGCGAAAATGACTCTGAATTGCAAAATCCTGTAACTCGCCTGCGAGAGGCTGGAGATGCGTCTGATCAACGCTATATATAGAAGGCTCCCATTAGAATGGACGAGCAAGAGACCTACATAGGTTCGGTAGAGCTACAGACTCCCGTAATAAGACGTGAAGGAAGCTGCCACGAGAACGCGTGGAGGAAGCTCTCACGCGAACCCATGGTCAAGGCTAGTCATCCTACTACAGTAATGGAAGAGGCCACTATGAGGGTAGTAGAGCAAGAATATCTAGGAGGGCGAATGAACTTCAAAGAAAGTACTCCTCAGATTATCCGAGACGCCATCGAACCATCAATTGGGCAGACTCCTTGCTCCCCGCCAAAATCAAAATTTGGCAGACCACTGAGAAGAGTGGCAAAAGCTGTGTTCAATCATGTCGTTACAGTAAATGCTATTTCTACACAAGCAGTCCATATTAATGCCGGTGAGCCGTCATCAATTCAAATTCCCACTCCTCCATTTGAATCCATCACTGTTGAACAGGCCATGCATGAAGATCCCAAATTATGGAAAGAAGCAATAAAATCAGAATTGCGCTCTCTGCAAGCCACCAGCACATATACAATTTTGACTAGGTCTCCATCTCCTGGAAAGAAAATAATATCCAGCAAAATAGCTCTTAGAAAGAAGTTCAGAAGTGACGGTAGCTTAGACAGACGAAAAGTACGAATTGTTTTCCGTGGATTTGAACAGCAGTACAGTATCAATTACTTCAAGACTTTTGCATCGCTAATACGTTACAACACACTCCGGATACTTCTATCAAAGGCTGCAGTAGACAATCTTGAAATTGAAGCGCTTGATGTGGATACAGCTTTTCTAAATCCAAAATTAGAAGAAGAGATTTATATGGAGATACCTGATTTCTTTTTGTTACAACACCCTGGAATCAATTGAAAGGAAAATTACCTCCAACTTAACAAATCACCATACGGTTTTAAGCAAGCCCCGCATATTTGGTTCAAAGAAGTCAAAGATCACTTTAATCAAATTTCTTTAAAGAGTGGAGATGCTGATCCAAATTTATTTATAGGTAGAGGTGTCTTCGTACTTCTTTATGTAGATGATATGCTAATCATTGGGAAACATGGAAATTTAAATTCCGTCAAATCAGACATCATGAATAAAATGAGTTGCAAAGCGCTAGGACCAGTTAACACTTTTGTCGAAATTCAAGTGGAAAGAAATAGGCAGAAGCGCACACTTCGCATTCATCAAACTGCCTATACAACAAAACTTATTCAGCAACTGGGAATGGAGAAAAGTATACCTAAGGATCTCCCACTCCCAGCAGGAATAGTACTAAGCCCATTTACTAAAGATGATATCCATCAAACGCTCAAAGATGATGACATCTGCCTCTATCAACAAGTTGTTGGATCTGTCCTATTTATTTCTAATGGTACAAGGCCAGGCATATCTTATGCCATAGGACAACTTGCACGATTTATATCTGATCCCGATTCAAACCATGTAAGTATGGCAAAGCATCTAGTCAGATACCTCAACCGTACAAGGTCGCTCGGGATTAAATACTGATTTGCAGCTACAACAAATATCTATGCAGGATGGACAGATGCA